CAATCTATTGCGAAAAACAATCGTTCAGGAAATTGAATTGATTACAGGACTTATCGCGACGAATGATCGGCGCGCACTGTAATCACGGCTGTCTCTTCAGTGAAAGCGAAGTATTCTTCGCGTTGCGCAATTAATCGGTGTGACGGGATGCATTAACCGGCGACAGGGGAGAAAATGTGATGGCGGGTGGATTTTGTTCCCGCTGAATGGACACGAATTGCGTGTATGTCGAAAGTACAAACGACATAATTTTCGAGTTCCTCTCCAGATCCGGTGACGACGGTCGGCTATTAAGCCGAGCACGGTTTACGCCACATCTGTAATCGACCGCTTAATTATAATCTCTGTCGCGTGCGTTTCGTACATACGGTAGAAAGTTGCGAAGACTTCCTCGAACCGAAATCGCCACTTCGTAAGAAAATTAATGCGTCGCTCGTAATTCAAGATGAGATATCGCACGCTATACTCAATTCGTTCGAGACAAAAATGGCGCTTTAATGACGGTTGGATAATAACAGTCGTGTTAATAATTAGGATTGCGATAATTGTGGGATTTATTTTGATCAGAATTACGCAAACATTTGCTTAGGCAAAATTACGCCGGCCAGTAACTAGTCGACTTAAATGTCTCTAGTCGCAAAAAATTAAACCTTTTTTGAATTGTGTATCTCGTTTATGAGCAAAAACTGCGAAAACTCGTTAGCTGCAAGTGATCTTTTAATGTCACCAGAATTCTACACTGTATCTCAAAATTAATGTAATAACGTGACACTTTTTCTTTTACGAACTTGCTTCAATTTTTTAAGAATGTGTTTTTCGCTCGAATTTGCTACAATGTTTCCTTGCTACAATTCTTCAACGATGTTATCGAGAATGCTTTACTCAATATCCGGGATACTTAATTCATTTCCGCGTTTGTTTAGCATGTTGTATAAATTACTCGGTAGTTTCTTCTCATTAATATAAGAGAAATGATTTCTTAACAATTTCATATTTTGTATCTTCGTGAAGAATACAACATTAAAAAAAATGTAACGATAATTAATTATATTAATTGAACGTAACGCGCTAAGAAGTTGAACACATTAATTATACGTAATACGCTTTTAGAGCAAAAAGAGCGCGGTGCGTGCTGTGAATGTTTTTTTTCCGGTTTGCAAGACGTTTATAACTTCACATAAAGATCTTATGATGAAATTACGTAGCGAAACTCATAAATTGAAATCTCAAGCGCCCTTAAGCGTCCACGCACCTTCGATTTCTGTCTGAGCATCGGCGACGAAAAAGTATGTCGTAACCCAGATATAAGAAATGACTGGGGTTTCACCGACTGGGTTTTATTGTCTGCGTTTAATATATTTCTGTATATAAATTCTGCACATGATATTCGTATCGACAGCATCGAATTATTCATTTTCGTAATTATGTATGTCGAACTGTGATCTGTCCTATTGGTGTCTAGGTAAGAGATTAAATTTCATCGTCGATCCGGTCCAACCGGTTTTTCAGAGAAGAGTAAAAATTTCGACGGAGATCACACAGAAATCGTTTAATCTTGTTGACGACGTTAAACGAGCCGTTGCGATTTGCTTCGGAAATTCGTTGATTATACGCCGTATCTGGAATAATTACCACTGTCGCAGATTTACGAGCTTAGTAACAAATTCCCGTACGCGTCGCATATTCTGAGGATGTGAGCATGAAGGAAAGTAAAAAGCCAGAGTCGACAATCAGGTCAAGGCTCATTTATTAGTTGTTTTTCATCGTGCTACGCGTTGTTGGATCCGTCCCGCCAATTCTTGATCGGAGATGCGTGTCGGAAGACCTTCGGGGTATCCGGCAGATTCTTCGCGGACCATCCTTTCCTTCTCTAGGAAAACGAAGGAAATGACCGTTCACAAAGAAATTAAGGCCGCGAATATCAATTATGATCAACTACTATTAGCTTTAGACACATCGCTTTTACTTAATTTCTATTTTGTGTTTACATTATCGCTTTGCGTTCAACATGTTGGCACAATAATAAATCCTTGTATAAATCTAGAAAAATAATTTTATTATTAAATTATTAATATACATTACAATATATTAAATTCATTATTTTACCATTATTATTATTTTGTTAGAAATTAATGTCAAGCTCTCTTGTTTGAAATTTCATTGCAATATTTGCGTCTAATTTCCGTAAGATAGGAATTTTGTTTATTGATGAAACTATTTATACAAAATGAAAAATAGTGCTCGTAGCTGTGTTTGCGTCATCTCCGTCCCGCTTTCGTACGGGATCTTAGAATATCTGTCTATGTATTATGACGTTCCTGTGCACCGCCACGGTAGCAAAGGCTTTCGCAAGGCTGTAGAGAGCTATTAAGACTAAACGTCTGTAACGATGACCGACGGGTTGATTGACCGCGATCAGTAAAACTAGGCTTCAGTTATCTCTCCCGATGGTTCATCCGCTTTTCCTAACAGACTTACGATCGAGCGTCCTTTCCAGTTCGTTAAATTCGCCTGACAGGCCGCCGCACGGAGAATTCCAGAATTTCCGCGGAATTGGGCATCTCTCGCGGATCTACGATCGATTCTCCTTCACGGTCCCGATCTCACTCGTAAACCACCAGCGGTCTGCTCGTAAAAAAAAAAGCCGATCGTATAAGCGCGCGATTATTCGCAGTTTCCCTTTTCACGGCACAATAATGATGTAGCGATGACCGACTGAATAGGAATGTAAGATGAGTCGGATTAAAATTGGATCTTTAAGAGAAAGTGTAGTGATCGGATATAAAAATAACTGTTTCCTAGCAAACAGAAGATTAAAGGAATGTGGAGGTGAAAGGAAGTGATTTAGCAAGACAGATTATAATTAAAAATCTTGTTTGGGGTTCACTCTTCAACTACGTTCACTTGAATCTATTGTTCAGGCAATGATTCATTGAGGCTAAAAAATCCTACTGTAAGAAATCAATGAATCATATAAAGGTATTATTCGATATTCCTATAAAAATATAGCCTGTGAAACAAGTGGCATTTGAAAATTTTTGCTCTTACAATTTCTTTAAATTTTTTCCTTTGTATGCTACTTTCTCGTTTAAACTTGGAGCCATTTCTACATGGATTCGTGACTAAAAAAGTTTTGTTCTATTAACAATGTTATTCTCTCGCAACAATTAAACTTGAAATTATTTTCATGGTCTCGTGATTTATGGCAAGTTACATAAATTCATAAACTAAAATTCTTGTTTAATTATATCAATAATCGTGCATGAAGTAATTTTTACATCGGTTTATGGCTGCTTGTATATCTTTTATCTCTCCGTGAAAATCTGATGCGCGAACCGTACATACACATCCGAGATTTAATTGCGCGTGTGTAGCTCATATCAATTGGCAAGTAGCAGCGTTCGCCAAGAAGCCGGCTCCAGCACCGTTAGGCGTGTACGGCGGCGCGTGAAAATGCACGCGAGCGCTCATAATTCCGCTCGTGCTGCACGGTTTGCCGAGAAGAGAACAACGACGAACACACATTTGCTTTGCTAATTTATCCATCAAGATAAACGATCGCCGCCAATCTCGGCTTAAAAGTAAAAGCGTGGCGAAGTGCGCCGTTGTGCAAACGCGAATCGCGAAACGATTCCGGGCGCAGCTTCAGAAAAAAAGCAGTAAGCGTACAGCGAGCTTTTTTTGACAGCGCACTGTGCATTCGGCAATACCTGTTCAAGGTAATTCCTTAACAGTTGCTTAACTACCGTTAGAGTAAAATTATAGATAATTATTTCTTTGCATGTGTGTAAAACATTGATCGCGCCAAATAATCTAGTGGATTTAATTTTACTTTATCTATTTTTTAAAAAAGAACCTTTCAAAGTCGATCTTTAATGTATTTATAATAGTGTCGATATTTTATGTATTTGCTTCATTTAACATCGCAGAAGAGAAAAACCAATCTCGATTTACAAGTTTGAAGATTATAGCATGAATAAATAAATTAAATTAAAATCAATAAATTGTGGACAAGCTAGACATGTAGAAAAGCTAGACGAAATAGAAATTTATCCAGGATCCAACTTTCTAGTGCTTTTAAATTTTTCGCCTTTCGTTCAATTCGTTGCGTCCGAGCTGGTTTGGCAAGTTTGGCGTAATAAACTGACTATTAAGGAGCGCATCTTTTCATCTTGTGCGAGGCGAGAAAGTGAAACTTCACAATACATGAAGCATTTTTACACTTGTACATTTCCCACACAAAGGATATTAATTTATGTAAAAGAAATCTTATAGCATCAAAAAGATTAAATGAAAGTGTTTTTATAAAATTATTAAAGTGGCTGTAATTATTGCTTTATAATTGTTTACGATTTTTCGAAAAAGCGCGAAATTATGTTCTTAATTTGATCATTATCTGAAGAATCCTGAATCTTTTTATTTGCTTCTACTCCTGCTGGTCTCGCACCTCGCGTACGATTAAGCCTCTACTATTTTTACGATACTATCCGAAGATTTCAGATTCTTGTGATTATTCTTAATTACACAACATAAGTGAATTGTATTCCGTCATCGCATACATAATTTCGGCGTTTGTAATTCGTAAATGGGTGGAAAATAATGCGAAAAGCATACAGACATTAAATGTAATGGAATCATACGGGTATTATGGAATCTGGAATGGATATTACGCTCATCTCACCGCAACGTTTCCATATTCATCGGCAGCCGGACGCAAAAGTAACATCCGGCAACTCGCAGCGATATTTGTCCCTTCCACGAATAAAAACAATTGCTTTATGCCGGCGGGCATTCATTATATCTCGTTAAAACAGTATCTCGCCATGACGTATATCTTTTCCGCGTGCATTCCACCTGTAACGGCTGCAATGGCGTGGCTCCTAATCGGCCGCGCTACGACGAGCGTATTATTAGTTGCGTGCGCTTGCTCGCTCGCACGCGCGATGATAATTGCATATTAATACCAAATCGAGTAACGATCCCCGCGTCTTGTTCTGCAGCAGGAGCCGAGGCCGGAACTCGATACCAGCAACGGAAGCAGCAACGGCGGCGGCAGACCGCGATTCGTTCCCGTCACCGCCCTGGAGGACGTACAGGCGGTACGCTGCGCCGAATTTCATCCGCATGGGAAGCTGTACGCCGTGGGATCGAACTCGAAGACGCTCCGAATATGCGCCTACCCGAAACTGCACGATGTCAGGTAAAAAAAAAAAATGTTTGTTCTGCGCCCATTCATCGTGAAATTTTACGTTGAAAAATGTCTGTCATTATTTTCAATTATCTTTGAAAGCTAACAAGCTCCTTTAAAAGCTGTGGATTTTTTATAACAAAACTTGAATAAATTTTTCCTTATTTTATTCTTATTCTACTGCGAGAAATCGCTAAATTGCAATCGCGACTGAATCGGACCGTGAAAGTAACGCGATTATATCGCCATAAAGGTTTCAATATCATGTGAAGCCATTTCGATAAAGTGTGTACGCGACGGCTAATGATAGTCTTCGACATGCGTTTTTCGACGAATGCATTATCCGGTATCACTGTACCGTTACCGTCTTACGCAAATATAACAAGTGGGTCACATTATGATAGCCGAAAAACGCAGTGTCCTCTTGTCGTCCAGCCGGGAGAAATCGGATAAATTTTATTCACGCTTCCGCGAAAAGCACGAAGAGAGAGTCGTGATACATTTAGCGGCGCTGGCGAAAATAATCGTAAATTATAACAAGGCCGACTCGATCGCTATTAAGAATTGCAGGTGGAATTCCCGGCGACAAAATCATTCCACGATAAGCGGGTTTCGCGAATAGAATTCACGGCTCGTTGAAGCGACAATAAATTCTGCTTAGCCAAGCTTAGCGCCGCTTTTTATTCACGGTGGACACGTTTTGGATCTTGCAAGATAGCTCTACGAAAAATGACTGTACGAGAGGCGCGAGAGAAATCACGACTCTTACAACGGAACGCGTCACGCTATTCAATAAGCCGGGACTTATCTATCATCTTAGAGCGATGATATCAGCGCAACTTCACTTCTCGGTATAATTAGACCAGAGATTGTGATTAATCGAATGCGTTCTCCCACGTTGCAATTGATATTTCTGATCGCCAGAGAAGGATTCATTTTTCTTGTCGCGAGAGAAGGATTGATATCATCAATATCATCGTTTTCGACGAGTAATAACATTGATTTTAAGTACAGAAATATTATTGTTATGAATTATTTATATGAAACAATAAAATCAAATTTCAAATTTCAAATTAAAATTTAAAAATATTTTTGGATATATCTTTTGATTATAATCGACATGGACTTTTCATTATTCCTCTACGTCGTCTGTAACTTTGAGATGGCTCAAATATAAATGTGCATTGGCTAAACTAATTTTACGCAAACGTGCTGGCCTAACGAGCGGCAGAGGCCTTCATGCCAAACGGAGCATCCCCACATGTTCAGCGAATGTAGATTACCAGTACGGTTTTTTTTTTTTCCATTACCCACCGGCTGTGTGCTTTCATGCTATAACACGTCGTTTCCATTTGCATCATCTTGAACGCGATATTTAATCTTCCTTGCCAAACGTACTTACGACAGCCGTGTAAAATAAATTCGTAACAATTATAACTTTACGGTTTTTCTTTTAGTTATAAATTCGAAATAGTTTCAAGAGAAATTTTTGAAGTTTAGTGTCATTTAAATAATTTAAAAAAATTCTTATTACACACGGTGAAATGCTTTAAGAACGCGGAGCGTGGAAATGTTTATGGAATAGAAAGTACAATTACAGTTCATAATAATAACAATTGGATGTACAGCAATTGAGCACGAACAAATATAAAATAAAACTGTTATAGCTCATGATTGTTTGCTTTGTATTACAAAATGAGCAACAAACAATCCCCTTTCACTTGCAGAATTCACACTGCTCATTCAACTCTATATTATGGTGTTCTAGTAAGTTCAACGAGCTGTAATTTGTGTCCAAAGACAATAATGCGCAGTAATTCCCATTCCAATTTGTAAGCAATCTCGTACTCCACACGAGCTGTTATTTTACGCGCGAAACGGCTCCCGTTAGCGTCGAGAAAGTTCGAACGCGTACATTACTGCTGTTCTGCAAAAAATTTATATCCGAATTACCAGAAAGTGTAAAGCGCGACACAAACGTATCTTGCGTAACTGTTGCGTACTTTAGAAATTACTGTTCGGATAATTATCGCATATACGGAATGCCTCGCGGATATCTCAGTTTAATCTGACGGCTACAACAATGAGACGTGCGAATAAATAGCTCGTAAAATTTGCTTAATATTCCTGGAAGACCACAACTATGCTATTTGACGATGTCGTAATTATAGCGTTAATAGCACGCATGACGCTCGTAATTATGTAAAATTTCCAGGCACTAGGAAATCGGTCTTCATGTCGTGATATTAATGTTGCGATACGAGCAAAAGTCAACGCTAATATAAACGATAGAAAGTTTATGGGAACGTAATTATTAAGAAATTCCATAATCCTTACTCTGTTATTAGATAGAATTCAAAATGTCGTGAATTTAACGCAAGTATCGCTGATTTGATATTTCAATCGTGCAAAATTGGTAAATTTGTGATTTTACTTCTGTTCAGAAAACAAAAAATTTTTTGCGGTATATTGCTATTTTTTGTGTCGAGTTATAGTGTTTTAAAAATCCAACACGCGCGTATCGACATTGAATAAATGCGATACGCGTGTATACATAATGCGTAATATCATAATGTTGCATAACTATTGTTATTACATAAATACACGACAATCAATTGGCCAGCTGACCAGCAGTAGCAGGCCACTGACTTATGTAAAATATGTGGTTGCATCGTCCTTCAGCTTCGGCCTTGATCAGAATTATTCGGGACAAATATAATCGATATGGTAGAGGAAAAACTTACTCATTATATAAAAAAAAAACTACTCATTATATAAAATTGATTGTAAGCTTAACTTTTTCATCTCTCTAATTTTATAAATGACTATAATTAATAAATAATTGATTTTAAATTATTCAATTATTTGCTTAATTTTAGAGTTTTAACAAGTTTTAGATTTTTGCACTTTGGCATTTGTAGACTTTTAATCAATTTTATTAGAATTTAAAATTGAGAAAAAATTTTCCAACATTTATCACGTATAATTGATTCTTCTCTTGAATAATTGCGCGCTGTAATTCGCTTATTCCATTGCTCTGATCACTTAATACAAACATCTGTAATTATGTTGTTATTATCCAGAGAAACCGCCTCTGCGAATCGTATCGTCACTTTCGAAAGTCGTTCCTCTCCAGCGCTTGCTGAAAATTACGACGAACAGAAGTGACGTTAATTTCACGTATCATGTTCAAGTCGATAGACTCAAGGGGGCAAATAATAATTAATTATGGGGAAGATTTTACGAATGAGTACACACTTCGATCGGCAGACACGGAGGGAGGCGAGATCTCGTGCGCACTGAGTGTGCGTACGGTGGGAAAGAGCTGTGCTTAATTAAAATCTACATAAAAACCGGCGTTGTGAAAGCGGCGATGCATCTTCTCTTTAAAATCATCGAGCCTCTCCCTCGTTTCCACGGCCGAAATGCAGCCGACGTGCATAATATGCGGCGATATCGGCTTCAATTAGAGAGACGTGCTTGACGAGGGCTGGGAACGAGGAAGAAAAACGGTTCGATGAAAGTGACGCCTGCGAGAACTCGAGCACTCTTTCTTCTCCTCGGATAGATTAATGACTTGGCTGAAATAGAATCTCCTTTTTCGACGATTTACGGCATGATTGATGCCGCCGCGAGTTGTCAAAATGTTTAGCGTTTATTATCTATGTGCTAATTGCTAATGACGGCAAGAGTAATGATGCATAATTATGCATTTTTCAGGGAGGATCATCAGACGTATCAACCCACCGTTCTCTTCAAGAGAACGAAGCATCACAAAGGCTCTATATATTGCCTCGCGTGGACACCGGATGGCCGGCTGATGGCAACCGGAAGCAACGATAAGACCGTGAAATTAATGCGCTTTAACGCTGATACTTCGAATCTTGAAGGTATTGTTTTATGATCACAGATCGTCTATACACATATATTTCAAAAATTCTTAAAATAAGCTTTATAAATTATAAACTCAGTTAAAAATAAAAATTATCAATGATTTAGAAACTTATCGTAAAAATTGAGTTTAAAGAGTTTTACTAATCATCGCGCATTGCAATAAGATTGATTTTACCTTTTTCGTTCCAGGACAAGAAGTCGAACTGACCATGCATGACGGTACCGTGCGCGATCTGTGCTTCCTCGAAGACACGTCGAACAAATCGAGTCTTCTGATCAGCGGTGGTGCCGGCGATTGTAAGATTTACGTTACCGATTGCGCGACCGGTACACCTTTCCAAGCCTTGAGCGGCCACAGCGGCCACGTGCTGACGCTTTACAACTGGGGCGGTGCGATGTTCGTCAGCGGATCGCAGGATAAAACAGTCAGATTCTGGGATCTGAGAACGAGGGGCTGCGTCAACATGGTCACACCGGCGACGGTACCTGGAAGCAGGGTTAGTTGGATTCCTCATTAATGTTTATCGATTCTCCAGCATCTTCTCTTCACCAATGGTCACAATGGAGAACGAAATATTTTTTTAAGAGAAAAAAGTTTATTAAGAATAAAATCACCGAAAGAAATATATTTATTTCGTCCTCCGTCCACGCACTCAAAATTTACTAGGGTAAGTCAGAAATTATCCACAATGTCCGAATTATGTTTCACTTGAAAAAATTGCGAATAATTTTTGACTCACCCTCGTATATGTATCAATCACAGATCCAAAGCGATAGTAAAACGAAAGCTAGAATGAGTAGAAATAGAAAAGAGATGTCCCTATCGTTACTTAGAATCCGGCATGCGTCGCCAACATCTTTGCGTTTCGTTTTTAGTTTTATGTTGAGTTCCACGTCCGATAAAGATTTGATCTAAGGTTTTAAATCGCATCACCATTTCTCCCATTAGCAAAATGCTAATCATCTCCTTTCCACGATCGAATTTTTATCGGACGTTTTCACAATGAGCACCGGGAGTGGAAACAGTATTGTTTGTCTGATCAGCATTTGATTCCATTGCAGGTCGGCAGTCCCGTGGCCGCGCTATGCGTGGATCCATCTGGTCGGCTCTTGGTGTCCGGCCACGAAGACAGCAGTTGCGTTCTTTTTGACATCCGTGGCGGCAGAACGGTTCAATGCTTCAAACCACACGCGGCGGATATCAGGAGCATACGATTCTCACCATCGGCGTATTACTTATTGACGGCGGGATACGACAACAAACTGGTGCTCACTGATTTACAAGGCGAGTCTCTCATTATATTTTAGTTTCTAATCGCAACGTGATACAAAAGTCATATGACAATAGAATTTAATTAACGATATAAAAAAATATTGTATTTTATGTAATGGGAAATAATGGGATATATTGCAGGTGATCTGACGATGCCTCTACCTAGCGTCGTGGTCGCTCAACATCAAGACAAAGTCATCTCCGGACGTTGGCATCCGACAGAGTTCTCGTTCCTCAGCACTTCCGCTGATAAAACGGCAACTCTATGGGCCTTACCGCCCGTTTAAATCTCCGAAATGACAACGCGTCGTTATTTATTTCTCTCTGTTCTTTTAAGAACATCCTTAACACAATGATTCGTCTTCAACAGCGTTTTAATTTACAAATAACTTGATAGATATTGTAACCGCGCAGGGAAAAGCGAAACAGTTTCGATCGACATTAATATTCTAACGTATCTGTGTATTTGCTGCACATAGTTTAATTATGACCAATTAAAATCTTCTTTATCCGTACGATTACGTCGTACATATGTAACGCGTAATGTGATTAACTCGCGATATAATGCATTGCATGAAATTAAGCATTTAAAATGTAACACGCTTTGAAGACTCGGGTTAGAAGGGAGTAAAAAACAAATTCATCAGAGGACATGAAACGAGAGTATCGGTAAGATTGTTTTTAACTACGATTTGATACCGGGAATCACAAGACTGCGGATGAATAATCCCTCGCTTCGACGCTTTACAGCTATGCGAAGCTGAATCGTACATGAGTTTTAAATATTTTCTTTTTGCACAACATGGGGAAGAGGGGGGGTCGACTTTTGGATTTTAATGGACTTTCTTTCATGAATAACGCACGCGTACTTACCGAAATCGCGATGCGATACATCCCCTCTGTCCCTCTTTTTTTTAAATATAATTTTGTTATAATCAGAAATGCCTGTATTGTAAATATGTTATAAGATAGTGAGTTAAGAAAATTTCAGGAATACAATACTCGCGCTCCTGTACAAAAGGAGTACGTAGTAATTTGTAGATTCTAAATGCTCTCTTATCTTCACTCAGTATCGCATCATTGTATCGTTTCGTAACATTTAAATAGGAACATTTGATAGATTGTTGCAGGACATCTTATTTTATTTTTTATTTGTATCAAGAGACGCAAAAGAAAACCGCGTTGTTGCAATTGTTGTGTGCTTGCACGCACGCGCGCGCGCGCGTCTAATTCACATAGGATGCTCCTACTTCCATCTCCATGTTATCGACTCACAAGCCAAATACACACGCGTTCTAGTTATACATAGGTATATATATCTGTATTCGGAGAAATATACGTATGCTCATACTAATCGCTATTTTTTACGGACTAAGATAATTAATATAAATCAAGAGAGTTTATGCGGATGTCGAGCAATTACGCGGTTTGTCGCGATACGTGACTAAATTTACGCGAATCGAAGAAGAAGATAGTATTCTTTAGTAATATAAAATCGTAAGGACTAACAATTAGATTTAATTTGCTTGTTGCAACGCTCGTAATAGCAGCAAAACTGAAAGAGAGAGAATGACATGTCATCTCGCGCTGTCGAAAGCGATTTCTTTTCTCATCGAGCGATTTGATGGTTGAACATGGGACGAAGCTTTTGTAAATACACATTTCATCGGCAATCGAACTTGGCAACCCTTTGATTTGATCAGCAATCTGTCGGGTGACGAAGTTCGCAATCCATATCATTGTTTGTTTTATCCCTACTTCGACGTCGACGCTCTTAAGAGCGAATTTCACTTTGTCCTGTTAGCATATCCTTTTAGCGAATGGACAAATCGTATTTTAAGATCGCGAATTTATTCGAAGAGAATGGAAAAGCGTACAAGAGATATCAAAAGCAGAATAGTAAAGAACGGGTGAACAATAGGGAAGTTAAAGTTAACCACTTGCTAAATAAATCCGTGATCCTTCACATTCAGTCATTTACAAGCATTCCAATCGCATGAAATAATACTAGAATTATTAAATATTCAATATTTCTTTCCTCTGCAATTTTTGTATAAGATTGCAAATGCTTCACTATTGTTTTAAAATACTTTTTCATGTTATGCAGTCCGTAAATTTTTAAAATGATTTTTCCAAAAGTTTTTAGAGTTCCACGAATATACTTAGATAATCAAGTAACTAGGCATTCGTGGAAACAATTTTTGAAAGCGATTTTATGTATTTCGTGACTCATATCTTGCGGTTCAATGACTGTCTCCCTGTTTCATGCATTTTGTGATGATTGACAGAAGAGATCAGGATAGCGATGGCGTGCAAACGGAATGCGACGAGAGCGATTATTTGTAATAGCGACTCAATGCAAGCATCTGCTTCCATGTAGCAATTTATCGTGCCTTCTGTCGTGGCTGCTTTCGGCAATTCACATTTATTTTTGTATGTTTGGTGAGCTCCTATCCTCCTCCCACCCCCGCACTCCTCATCCCGCAACGGTAATCTCCTCCTCTCATCTTAACAGTGTGTCCAAACGAGTTCGTAAACGTTTGAAGTAAAAACAAAAAAAAATCTCACTCGTACTCTATCTCGTACTCGAGTATTACCGCATAACATATTATATACATATAGCATAACTTATAACTTTGTACTTTTCTTGTAGATACGATATAATATGTCACGTCTAATTTAAACAATAAAATTTACGTTATTAAAACGGCTGTATTGATACTAACCCGCTCGGAGAACCCATCAAAGTTTCATCAGAAGACCGCCGCCGCCGCCGCCGCCGCTAATCTCATTCGGGCAAGTTTTTCAGAAGTCCCGGTAATCGAGTCGATTAGGCCCCCGTAAGAGAGGAATTACGTCGGCGTGTGGGTCCGTACCAAGGTGTATATACGCGCCACAAAGTTCGATCGACTTTTTACAAATTTCCCTTAATGACTGTAATCATGCAATCTTCCACCCGCATGTATTACCTATGGCGCCGAATTCGACGCTCCTCGGGTTGGGATTCCGTGAAACGGTGGTGCACCGATCGCGAATGAAATTCTTCTAGACTCGAAAAATTTAATGAATTTAATGGGGAACCAGCAATTTCGGCGCTTGGAACCAGCTTGTTTTCGTTGATTATGGAAAAACTGCCGCCGTAATATATCACGTCTAGAGATTGCACCAGAACAGGTAAAAATTTCTTGTGTGCGATCAAACGGTTTTCGCAGAATTGTACAATCAAGTTCGCTCTAATAGGAAGTATAAATAATGATTGCATCATTTAGAAAAAAAATGAATATAAAAGTTTGAAGCGTTTTACAAAGAAAGCGTTATAAATTTAAGAAAACTGGTAGTAGAAAAAGATAATAGCGAAAAATCGTATTGTAAAAATATTTTACAATAAATCATACGCGTTCTTTCTTCGATGAAATTTCTATTGCTAAGCGAACCTCGTCAAAGTCGGCGAGAAGAATGAAAAGTAACGGTCGCGACGAACCGAATTCGTGATCTACGGAGCTCCGGCCCCGAGAAGTGTCCCCGGGGCGAGGATCCACCCACGGCATTCCTGTGCGTCTGTCGGGGGCCATCTGTCGATTCGACGAATTCGGTTTGTGCTTCGGGATTTTTCGAAATCCTCACCGCGGGCCAAATTGTAGCCCTAATTACCACGAGTGCGCGATGATCCCGAGACGAGCACGGACACGTTGTCGGGTCCCCGGGGATAAATTGTAGTTTCTATGTTCTGTCGAACCCACCTACAAAATCGGGCGGCGCGCACTGCACGTTACACAGTCCTCAGAAATGCCCCCCGAGGTGCGAGGATTCTTCGCTAATTCTATGTTCTTATTGCGGTTTGCCCAATGATATTTGGCAACGGAATCTAACGCGAATTTTTAGAATTCACGAGATGCCTCCCCGTCGTTATATTATTTAACTAAAAAGAAAACGTACTTCAATTTTGTTACCTTGTATTTTTGAAGATACGCATATATTGTATCGTACGTCAATTTTGAGTAGTTTATAAGATCAAAATGACTGCAGAAAAAGAGTGCAATCATTATACAGCAGTAATATGTAGTTTATTCATGAGATCGATTATTCACGGTACTTTTCACAAATTATAAAAATCGAGCAAATTTAGCAGGATTTAAATAGAATACAAAGAAAACATGATTATAGATTTTATGCTGGACTATGATTTCCCTCGATTGTCTATGCGGAACAAGCGACACGACTATAGTCGGAGACATAATAACAATGATTAAGGAAATATTATTCCAAGAAAATCTTGGTGTTTGTGTCGCTATCCTCGCTAAATCGCGCAATTAAAAGAATGAGCCGCTTAGAGATGGGTAGGGATTAGTCCTCGAGATCACGAACAAGTGATCTTGCGATTATGAGCAAGAAACAAGGAACTTAGAAGAGACGCGCGATGATGCATTAGGCTAATCGCGCCGTTAAATAATTCATCACGCACGAAGTATTCAAATTAATAACGTATTACGAGAATCACCTCCAATCGAGAGCTCGAGCGCACGAATTGCTTTGTATACTCTATCATTTCTACAGTGGTTCTCATACACTTTTTCTACTTTAGATTTTTTGACACCAATCTACAAAGTTTGATATTAAAAGCAGTCAAAACAATACAGCTTTCTGCAATTAATTTAAATGTTTATTTTTAATGATCCTTTGATAAATCTGACATGAAATCTAGGATTATTTGAAGTGGACATTACTTATAATAATTGTCATTTCAAGAGCTAGAAAGATTGAAATCTTTGTTTTCTTATCGTTTGATCCTGCTAGAGCTTCCAGTTCATCGGCAAGATTTCTTCTTTCAGAGTTGCAGTTTTCGGAATGACATAGCAAGAAGCAGTGCGCACCGCTGGCAGTCCAAATCACATTCAAATGAGGAAAGGAGGGACGGCTCTCGTCGTAAGGCCCCCAAAAGCGAGACGATTCGTGCCGCATACACGCGGCGGTCAGAAACGCGCTGCGTGTAATCATTCTCGGAAGGGCAATTCCCGTGGCGAGAGATGATAATAATAATTTGAATCGCGGCCACTTAGCATACGTGCAATTTGGCGCTTAAGACGATTCCGTCCTCCCCCTCGCCTGGCGCGGCGTGGCGCACAGCCGTCGTCGTCCTGACAGAGGATGGCACGTCCACACAGGGACGTCCCTAAAGTCGCCTCGGCCGTCCACGCCGCCCCGAACGCAGAAATCCGTAATCACCGACCCGGAATTTGAACCCGGGGGCCTGCCCAGAGACACGACCCAAGTCGCGGCACCGGAATAAAATGCGACGAAACGCGCGTAATTTGTGGGGCCCTTTCGTCCAGGCATTCCTCCTTTCGAGAGAGAGTCGCCCGGCGCTCTTTCTCGCTTCTCGCATAAAAGCGCCTCGCGGTACTTTAGTTCGTCGTAAATTATTGCGTTAGACAACGTTGTTATCCCTGTGGCTGTTTAAGGATATTTTGTGGTAGGTGGACGACGCACACCGACGCGCTTATTAAGTACGCGAGTAAATAGAATATCAAAGCAGAATCGGCCGAAAAATGTGGCGAACAAAAATAACTGTAAAAATGCGGAGTTTCGTAAAACAGTCAAGCTCAAATTGTAATTAAAAATATTTAGTGGCGTATATTGTTATACAACAAGTGAGATGTTAAAGTTTTCCTAGAAAATGCTAATTTATTTTTTCTCTAGACACAGTCTTCAAAAATGCATAGCCCGCAGCGTGAATTCAACTTTGCGTGACGGAAAATGTCGAAAGCAATGTAATTTTGCAGAAAAAAGGTCGCCAGTAATTATATAGTGAACAAATTTCTCTAACCGAAGATTATTATAGACATTTGCTCAAAAATATTTGCATGAATCTGGATGGCATGTGACTAATAGGTAGGCGTCGTAAAACGAAGACGAAAGATTGAAAAACTAGACGATAAAACTCAGTTCTTCTTCAAAATCATTTGCTACTTAATTAAATATAAGTAAAATAAAAAAATTCGCAATTGTTGAATTTTTGCGGAAATTCAATCAATATATCGTGCACACATCAAATATGACACACATCAATTTGTACATCAATTATATTGATGTTTTCTACCGACAGAACTTATAACAGGTACTTTGCAAAATTTACTCACGACAGACTCTGCTATTTGGAATCATTCGCGACTTCATAGCTAGCGGGTGGAGATCGGTCGCGTATCCTCGCTATAACTCCACGTAATGGCTAATATCTCACAAGAGTCGTACAAACGCGAATCGGTTACTAGTTACTACTTACGTGAGTTAACATGATTTATCGCCCAGCGTTAGCCGCGTACGAGGCCGGCACGAAGAAACGAGCAGGGTAGAGATGAAGAAAGAAGCGGGGACAAGAAAAGAGCGAGGGAGACGGACGCGCGAAGAGGGATGAAGAGTGCAAATCTCTCTCAGGAGGCTTCACTACGGCCAATTAAGGCCCTGTTTTAATCGTTCGCGCCTAATTGCAGACCCATTACTTTGTCTCTCGAGGGTAAATACGTCCAGTTAAATACCCACGTCAAAATAAAGAATACGCGAAGTCTCGAAAATCATCAGCGAGCAGTAGAAGAGATCTTTAAGATAGGAGAGAATCTGAAGAAAGCAGGAATATACGAAGTATGTTTATTTTTTTCGATTATTGAAAAGAATTATTCATTATTAACTTATTATTATTTAAGAAGAAAAAATTATAGATTACTATATCTATGCATACTTATTTGTCAAAAATTCTACATTATAATTCCATCGAAAATAAAAGAAAAATAAACAAAAAAATGAATTTCATCACAAAAAATCCTTTAAAATTGACACCGTAACAGTTTTACTTAATGCAAGATGCAAAAAGAAGTTTGAGAGAAAAGAACGCTCAATAGCATAGCATGGTTCTAGCCAGTCGATTCTTCCCGACTCTCTTCCTCAACCCGCAATCACATAGTATCGAAAATACATCACGCTGCCGTCAGCGATGCGTCTCTCGAAACCGAAGGGTTTCGCGCTCTCTAAACCCGGTCGCTGTTCGAGATGAAACCGGTCGCTCTTAATAACCACCCTCGCATGGCCTAAGGATCAACGGCACGACCTGCAATCACGCCATAGACAACTCGCAGCGACTCGATCATTATCACAGCCAATAATCACTGGGACGTATTCCGCTAAGTGCTCCCCTCCGTTGAAATGCACTTCGGGGCCGCCGGGACCCCGAGGTTCACCACTGGCGGTTTCTCGACGGGCAAGAAAGCGGACCCGAACACGCTGTTCTGCCCCCGCTCCCCTCCATATTTGCCCGTCTCGGGCGCTCTTTATCTCACTGTTATTTGCCCCCGACGACCGGCGATAATCAAGGACCGCGGCCCGTCGGTGGATGGACGGCATCTCTAATCCGCGGCAATTACGACGAGCGATTAAAAAGATTTAATTGTCCGGCGCGCCGGACTTCGCTCTAGGAGAAACGTCCCTTCGTCCGCGCGAGGGAGGCGGAGTGATTCTTCGCGAAGTGGCGATAGAGCCCGCTCCAATTTTTCACCGTCATTATGACTCGACAGGGCACATCGGAGCGACGCAAAAACCCGGAGAGATAAAAAGTTCGCGATACTCTATTCGGCGATGGCTTACGCGGGGGGGAAAAATAGACAAAAAGGATTAATAATGATGGCTTATGAGTGATTAGCAACGCGAAGAGTAACTGAA